ATGTGTGTGAATATATAAATATATATATATATATACATATATATATACATACATATGTATATATATATATTATAGTTATATATAAGCACGTATTATATAATATATATATACAATACATATAGATATATATATATATATATGTTCGCATATATGATATACGTATTCTTGTATTCTTATATATTTATTTATATCTCTGTATCTATATCTATATATTTAAGTATAAATAAATACGTATATATACATATATATATATATTTACATATATAAATATTATGTATATATATATATATATTAAGGGGGTTGGTATATATATATATACAATATATAAATATATATATATTAATTATATATTTATATTAATGATAAATTTATTTTTATATGTACATTCATATATATATATATATAATTATATATATTGAAATATTCATCTTCGTAAACATTAAAATGCTCAGATTCGTCAAATTACATCATATATACCTATTATATATAGTCGCAGATTCAATTGTGGAATTTTGAACAAATATTTACTTTGGTAGTATTTTACGTCTCAGTACCTTTGTTAATATAGGTCTCCCATCGAACGAGTATTTCAAGTATTTTTTGAGAGTGGATTTTTTGAAGGCATTTAGCCCATGCAATCACAAATACAATAAAAATGCAAGGGGCAGCGTTAAAACAGATCGCATACTACCAGGCTCTACTATTGATAGGAAGAGGGAGACCATCAGTGGTGGCGCCTGTGACGTTCTACTGTGATTATAAACTAATACACGGGGAGATAAGAACGTGAGAGATATCAATCAGCATTTACGCGCTAAAATGGCTTCTACAGAAACCAACAAACGAAACTCCGTTGTCTAGTTGTGACTATTTATTCTTTCAGTCGTTCGCAAAATCGCGTCAGTACCAAGTCAAACTCAGTTGGTAAGGTAGACGCCAAATTACGAAGATTACAAAGTTATACGTCGGAAAATGCCATTATCCTGGCGATTAGCAAATCTCCCTTAATCTGATCCATTTATGATTTTGACGCAGAATTGTTTTGCAATACATAGATGATTTAAAGGATAAGGCATCCCTTCTTCTTTCCTTTCTTATCCTGTATGGGAATGGCGGAAAAATCGATCATGTGCCAATCAGAAGTAGTACAACAGATATCAAATTTCCATATAAAATTTGTGTTATTCGCACAGAAGGTAAAATTGGGTGATACCCCAAATCCACGGCGAAAGTAAAAACTACAATATACATTCAATAAATAACCCCGCAATCATGGAGACAGTGAGAAATCCAATAAATATCCAGCAATCATTATCGCGGGGAGTCCAAACAATGAATAAATTAATAAGAATCCAAGAGCGAAGCAACTACCTTATGGGTATCGGGCGTAGCTTCGTTGATTTGCCGTACCAAACTAAAGAAAATTTCTGATACATTTATCTGTAGCGAAAGGAGAAGGAAAGTGTGAATGTCTTGAACTTTCATCCCCACAACCAGGACAAAAGTGGTCAGTCATCATGATTGAAGCAACAATGCGTGAACAATCCCGGTGCAAAGTACGCGAGTACGTGTAAGCGTACCGAAACAAGCAAAACGATATAGCATAGCAAGCAGAATTCGATGCTAGATATATCGAGAAAGCCTTAGAATAGAACAAATAAATGCGAGTACAACACACACCTTGCTCTTTGCTGAAGCCTCGATGAAGTAACAACTCCATTGCTTCGCTCTGGCACTTCCCTGATCTTTGCCAATCACTCGCTCGTCTTCCAGATCACACTTGTTCGCACATAATACCATGGGTACGTGGTCGGTATCCTATTCGACGTGCATAGTATTAGAAACAATCGGTCAATAGCCTACTCGACATGCAAAAATAGAACCCCGTTGGCGAGATGTGGTTGTTATATACAATTCTACTATCCTTATAATTGCGACCTCAAAATGCACTGGGCTACAAAGATTGCGCTATAGTGGGAGTTATTCTGGACAGCTACAGACTTGCTGAGTTAATAACAATTTCAGTTCCCGGCAATATAAAAATTTCAGTTGCCCGCGATGTGCTGAATTGATGAGATTTTCAGTTGCCCGCAGCAAAATCATTAGTATTCGAACCCACTTCGATCAAAACTGGTTCCTAAAGTCCCATAAGTATCACATTTCTACCTGCAGTCCAACTACACAACGTACTGTATTGTAATTTTTTACCTTACGATAACCTGGCATTTACATAGCATATATAGCTCTCGCGCAAGCCTACAGATTAGGGTAAGTTTATAACTCTAGTGCGATACATTAGGATCCGGTTTTGTCCTAAAGCATCAAGTACCAAAAGCCAAGCACGATATACCACAGTTACTTCACAAATGAACAGGCCAGACCTAAACCGCATTCGGTAATTTTTGGTTGCAGACACTACACTTTATGATCAAGTTTGCAAAGTAAACTACTGTGATTGATACGTTCCACTTATAAAGCACAAAGAATGTATCACATGTAGTCTCGCGATTGTTTTTGCATACCTTCACACGTAGAATCTGGTCTCGCAGATCCTCCAAATCATTAAAAGTACTTTGCGCGGTAATAGAGTATACCAGCACAAACCCTTGTCCGTTCTTCATATATAAGTCCCTCATGGCAGTGAACTGCTCTGTACCAGCAGTGTCAAGAATCTCCAGCATACATTGCTGGCTGTCAACCTCGACCTTTGTACGCACAAAAATAGATAAAAAAAAGTAAGTGGAATGCAAAGCTGTGCAAAACTATGCCACCCAATAAATGAATTGAGCTTGCGTCAACTATCAATATAACTATGTGACAAATGAAAGGGAAATTAAACAATCCGCAATAGCTGCAGTCGTGACTGCGCAAATGGACCATAAATCGCCAACATGTACACATATTTTTAAAAAAAGACGAAGTATTTTGTCCTGGAATATGCTCGTCTAAGCGTATAAGGCGATCTTGGAGCGTACCCAATCGAAATACCATACACAAAAAGCTATATCGGATTTTGTTGCAGCGTGTTCCAAATATAATACGAGTGTCCAAGGCAAAACCAAACCGGTTCCAGATAAGCACGACCGGAAAGCACCTTAAACGAAGATACGATCATACATACGCTACGCAAGCAACAACACAGTACAACGGCGAACACTCAAAAAAAGGACCATAAACAGGATACGATGGTATTTATTCTACACAAGCAAACACAGTGCTAAATAGAACACTTTGGACTTGCCTGGATACGCTCGTAATTAGACTACACCAGCAACAACACAGTGCCAAGGCGAACACTTTGGACATACCTGTTTTCTATAACTATCTTCAATCGTGGGATCATACTTTTCTACGAAGATTCCCTGTACGAACTGCACAGTTAGTGCAGATTTACCCACACCTCCAGAACCTAGAACTACTAGCTTGTACTCTCTCATGATGACTATTTGCGAGAAGAACAATACAATATGAACGTGCTTTGGGTATTCGTATTTGCTTATATTATCTCCAATTCTCGATGGTGTTTTGATGTGCCCTTTTATGTTTGATTGTTGGTTATTATCTTTTATCGCAATAATTTTAGCCGGCTCTCTTGGGTTGGTTTTGGTTGAACCAGGCACCAGCTATCACAGTATGTCGCCTACATTTTTTGTGTGTTTATTATTTATCAAATAAATATGTATATCTATGAACATAATTTAATATTTGTGGCGAGAATTAAGACATGTAGACTACAGCCTAAATTGCAATATTTTAAATTTGCGTAGGCTCTTGAGGTGTACTGACTCAGTATACACCGTCTTTGTATTTACAACAAATTATGGTGTATATACTGTCGTAAATAACCATAGAACAACAATATTCCTAAATTGAAAGTGGAATGAAAAAGAGACATATTGTTACGTTTTATATTTTGAATTTTTTTAGAGCAGGGAGACAGCTTCTTTCTCAATGTTTTTTATTGTGTTAAAAAAAAAACAAATCAAAACCCATGGTTCCAAATTCCAATGACATGGTCTCAGGCTATATAACACAGTCCGAGGGGCGATGGCAGCCTTCGGGCTTCGGCCCTTCACTATTTACTTCCCTGTAAAGAGAGTCTGAGAATCCGTGGGGGGTTGAGCTCCTGAGCCTCTGAGCGAGGCCTGAGGGTTGATGAGGGTTGAGGGGCAGTGAGGGCCTGAGACTGAGAGCCTGAGAGTCTGATAGCTGACTGCCGAAGCTGGGCCTGAGGAGTGAGGACTGTCACTGAGGACCCGACCGCCGAGAGCCCGAGAGCCCGAGACTGATGTTCTCTATTTTTTTATTAAATTATATATATATATATATATTTATTTTTCTATAATATGCACGTTCGTTTGAGAAATACAAATAATATTATTTATTATTCGCACGTTCTGATGTTGTAACGAATGGGGCTCCTCGGATATCCAGAATTGCCCCTTGATTTCGTATTTTGCCGATCAACGGGAACACTCGACAACAAATATCGGTATCATTTCCACGAATGGAATCGCTATTTGATCTGCAATCTCTTACCTACAAAATGAAGGGCAAATCCTAAAATCCTGGGAGTTAAATAATTGGAATTTGTAGTTTTAACATAGTCCCAATCACATTCTTCAATATTCTTGAGTGCGCCAGTGGTCACTGTGGTGAGTGCGCGAGTGTCGCGACTCGGCTAAGAAATAACGGCTGTAGACCTAACGGCTAACCTCAAACCGTTTTCCGTTGAGACCTTTATATATCGAATATATATACGTTTACATTCAACTTTTATTCCATATACGGTCCTTTATATGCTCATAGGTGCACCATTCGGGTCTAAACATTCAAGTGCGTACCGTTTTCAACATACGAACCAGTCCTATATGTTTTAGGATTTAGGGTTTTATATAACTTCTATAACGTTTTAAAATTGAATAAATATGCGTTCAGGTTCAACTTTTCCGTACCCCCATAACGTAATCAGCTTAGCTGTGGACTGTGGAGTTTGGACTGTGGTCACTGGAGTGCGGACTGTGGCCCTGGGGCCTGGCCCCTGCGCCAAGTTGTGTATTTACTATTTAGTTTTTGTACAATACATGTGTCGTGATACAGTACAATGTATTTACAGTACATATATACAAAGACGAGTACTTTAAAAAAAGAAGAAAAAAAGGAGGCTATGAGCCCATGTATGACTGTACTTATTTCATATTTACCTGCTGTACGAGTCTGAATTCTGGAATACTCTGTGTCAGATACCACTATTTTTATATTTACGAGTTTGTTTTATTTTGTTTTGATATTGTTTTAAAAAAAACAAAAAAAAACAAGAAATACACTCTTGGAGTCTTGAGTCATGACTCATCCCTTTGCGAGTTTCACCGCTTTCACGGCCCTCTGCCCTCTGGTCTGATGAGTGGGTCTGGATCAGTCATCAGAATCTCATCAAGGTCGTAACAGAAATCGTAAATAAATATTTTAAAAAAAGTTTAGCGAGACCCTGATCCACAGATCCAGAACCTCAGAGGGTAGACCATACATCACATAAATTCGAGAAAAAAAAATATGAAGGTTGTATAAATTTTTAACTTCTGTAAAATATAAAAAAAATCAACTTTGTGCCTCCTCTTCTTGTGTGTTGAGTGGGCGCTTGTAGCTACTAATTTGTTTAAAAAAAAAACATCCGATGTGAATGTCAAAAAAAATACTCTCCCTTGGCCTTGACCCTTCTTGTGTGTGTGGGGTTGTGGACTTCTTGTGAAGTTGTGGTCATGGACTTGTGGCTATATATATATATTTTTTAAATAGAAAACAATGTGAATGGTAAAAAATACTCACGGGTGAGTGCCCTTCGTTGGACGGGGGGACTGATGGCGGTCTCTCGAGTACGAGCGCTATTAAAAATATCGCAAATAGGAAAATCGAAGTCGGGTGAATGATAATACTGAAACTGTTTTCTATTTCCCCTGGCTATTTAGACATCCGATACAAGCAGTACTTTTTTTTAGCTAACCACACAAGTATTTTAGTAAATATTTACTTTTATAACGCAACACCTCTTGCTAATACTTCACTTTACTGGCATGTATGTAATCTACAAACTATGAATATATTTACCAATATATATATATATATACCAATATATATATATATATAC